GCTGAATAATTGTGTGTGTGTATGTGTGTCTCAACCATTTAGGGTTTTCTTTAAAAGATTTGTATCTTTCTATAACGCTTGAGAATATCCTGATATATTACTCTCTCCTAGAGAAATATGTTGGAAGCTTACAAGTCATCAACTAATTGTTTGCCTTTATTTTTCATATTTTTATTTAGTTTTCAGTATTATTGCTATTGTGTTTTTTTCCTGCATGTTTCATTTCTGGTTGTTGGAACTGTATTGGTTTAATTTTATTTTTATGCTTGCATAATTATTTCATTATTTTCCTCTAGAGTTCTTTGAGTTTATCATTATTACTGTTAATAATGTTCTTAAATGTGCCTGATGCTGAGAATCTTCCTCTTTCTGTACGAATATTCTTATAAGGCATGCTTCCCCTTTCAGCTACAATATGTGTTAGCTTCACGGAAAATAAGTTTATTCTGAAAACAATTGATCAGATTTTAAGGAGGATCTAATGGACTTTAAGGTTAATGCTTCAAAGTCACAATCTTATACATTCTCAATACTTTACTGACTCATCCCTAACCCTGTCTCTCTTGTAAAATACTGAAAATGCTCTGGTCCATTGTATTCAGTACTCTCAGAACTTATGGTAAATCTGGTTTCTAAAAATCCTCCCTTTGTCTGTAGTTAATACAAATACATGTTCTACTGTCCTGTCAATCTATTAAAAACAATCCATACAATATATAAGTTTAGATAAAGGAAATGAAAAGAGTTTAGACAAAAGACTAACCAATCTCTCAGTTTTTGAAAACAAAAATGCTCAGAAAAACCATTCTGAGCTTTATAGTTTACAGAGGAAAACCTGCCCAGGCACAATTTATCACATTATTTAAACAGATAACTTTTTTTTCTCAAAGATGTTTTTTTAAAAGGCAACTGGACTGTTTTATTTATTTTTTTTCCTTGAGGAAGAAGAAAACGTTTTACTTCTCATCCAAGAAACTTCATTGGTTCTGATGATGGAGGGATGGAAAGATAGGTATCTATCAGTAAAAAAGAAATCAGGGAAAAGAACAGTCCAGTTGCCTTTTGAAAAAACACTCTTGAGACAACTAAGATCTAGATGACTGAAAATCTCCACAGACAGATAACATTTCCGTTATTCAAGTAGATGAAAACACAAACAGTCCTCAAATCACATCATAATGCTACCTTTTCACACCAAACAAGAAGATACAATCTGTCATAAAAGTTTATGCGTTACTGGGATTCCTTTTTATCTAATACATAGCAAATATTAAAAAGAATACTAGTAGAGTATTGTTGTCTTGTCTTGATTATGGATTTTAAGATCTGAAGGTTCTGACCTTCTTAGCCTCCTGGAAGGTGATTAAAAGATGGCTTTTTCTCCAGATATTAGTGTCAGGATGTTAAAGGTGCCCAATATATCTGTTTCAGTTATATATATCAGTTATATATCAGTTATCAGTTCTGAAATTGATACAGTGTCTTGGTTTTTCTTTATTGTCCCGAATCATTTTAATGTTGGTCTTAGAATTGTGAGATACATGTTATCAACATTAAAAATTATATGTGTCTATATAAGCAAATAGATTGCTTACCACCCAGAGTAGATCGGTAGTGATATATATTTTCAATAAATAAATGTTTTCATTTATTACTCACATCATTCTTGTTTTTTTCCAAATATATTTAAGGGGCATTTTCGGTGGTGCTAATGATTTTAGATTTTGGAGCCCTTTTAGTAGAATACTTAGGAAGGACACCAAAATGTAGTAGGAATCATTTCCCCAATCTAATGATTTCCAAATAGCCTTATTATAACTCTCAGAATATCCAATCAGTATAGCCAGTCCTCAGAAGTTTGTAACTGCAACATTTTTGGAAAAATTGGGTTGGAGACATCTGGTCTAAAAAGTGGGCTTCCCCTCCCCATTATATAATTAAAACTGAAATCTAATAGGTATACCACTGGCTCTTTTGGACTACGTAATTTTATTTTCATTCTACCTAAAGCAGCATTTACATACAGTGTACTGTACATAGTCCTGACTAAATAAATAGCCAGCAATTTTGACTCTTAAGGAGTTCATAAAATGCATGGAATTTAAAATGCGTATAATCCCCTCTGGAAAATTAACAAGGAAGTTTATGTGCATGTGACTTAATGACATAACACTGAAAACTAAATGGAAAACAATACAATTTAGGAAGTTGTCTGTATAACGTGAGATATTTGCGATATAGAAGTGCAACAAGGTTGCAGTTAGTACATCAAGGTTACATTTACTAATTTGTATTTATAACTCAGAAACACTTCCTTAAGGATCATATTGCTGATTAGTACAATTGCTAGATTTATCAGCCTGTCTCTCATGAAATGGAAAGTGTTGATGAAAGCTGCAATATTTCAGACATCGAAAAAGAGAAGTTGTGTGGGTGGTACATTTAGTTTTTTTTTAACCTTTTGCTATGATCATTTAAAGAATTAGTGACTTGGGACTTTGTAAATCAGACAGCTGAAAGAAGAGTGTTGATTTGTAGTGCAAGCGACTAATCACAGATTCTGCTTACTGTAAGTTGATTATAAAGGATTTTCTTGCTTCCTTATCCTTGCTATCTTTTGCTGTACTCCAAATAGATAATTCAGAACTGATTATTTATGGAGAACTAAGGTCCATTTAATCTATTATTTCATCAAAATTTAGAATTTTCCTTCCCCTTTTCAATTCCTTTCTTTGTTAGGAACATTTTAAAATATGAAAGGAAATGTACCTAGCAATTTTTTCCTCCAACCACTTTCACAAAAATAGCACCTAGATAATATTAGCCTTGGATTTAATGGTTTTCCAAGGGTTCCTTCTAAATACGTAATTATTTTAGTTGTATAGCATTAAAATAACTTGGGAATAAGAACCATTTGTTATAGATTATATATTTGGAAGAAGAAAAACAACCAATTTAATAAACAGCCATAAGTACGTGTAGATACATGCAAACAACACCTAATTATGAACCACTTGAAGCCTTCCAGAAGTCATGTGATCCTGAAATTAATTGAATGGATGAATGAATGAATGAATGAATGAATGAATGAATGAATGAATGAATGAATTTATTAAGCCTTAGAAAAACATGCACTGGAAAGATATGTTTCTGCAATATCGCTATGATGTTGACTTCAACTTGCCAAGCACCTATGAGTGAAATAGGCTTAAATTGATTCCATCTAAGGACAGCCTCAAGCTGGGTCAAATCTTTCACATTTTGTAATGGATTATCCTGAAAGAACATGAGTTGAGCGGTACTGAAAATAGAGGTGTTTAAGAATGAGAAATGAGCAGATTCTGAGTCAAGTAGATTTCTGCTAATTCAAGCAGGGGTGGATAGCACTTTATTTCAGCAATGTGGAAAAACTTTCATTGTTTAAAAATAAGAAAGATAAGATGCTGCAGTGACCATTAGCAGTTTATCCATATTCCTATGCTAACAAAGGTTCTTATTGCTGAAATCACTGCTGTTATCTAGGCCAGTGGTCTCCAACCTTGGCAACTTTAAGACTTTGTGGACTTCAACTTCCAGAATTCCTCAGCCAGCCTAGGTTGGGGACTTCTGATCTAGGCCACTAGTTACCCTCTACTCACCTGGTGACTGCCTGATTTGCAGAGAGGGGCTTGGAACTCATTATTGAGATCCAGCCATAGCTGTTTGTTTGTTCCTAAATATTTTAATCAATCCATTCTAATAATTAATTTCCACTGGAAACAACAAATATTTAGTTTTCTTTTTCTTCCTGATACAACTTTTTATTGTACACTTGATGACGACTGATACGCTACTTCAATCTTAATGTTATTTCTTTCATATTTCCACATAAGTTTTTCATTTTTGAACCTTTACCATCCCAATATTACTGATGTCTTCTTTCTGACCTCTTAATAACCTCTCCTAAAACATACGGAAATTAAAATGGTTCTTACCTGTTTCTGGGTATTTATAGAATCTTGAATTCAAATCACATACAGCACTACATTAACACAATTTAATTTTACCTCAGTTCCTATTTAAATCTGAATTTCTATAATCTATCCTAATTTTTCCCATTTCCCATTGCCTCTAAATTCATTGTTACCTGTTTTTTTTCCTCAGTATTGTATATTTGCTCAAGTTCTTCATATTACAGGTATCATTCTATTAATTTTTGGTCTGTTTTCAGACCAGGCTCCAAAGTATTTGTTTTAGGACTGATTCTGATTGTATGTCTTTGTGTGTGTGTGTGTGTGTGTGTGTGTGTGTGTGTGTCTGTCTGTCTGTCTGTCTGTGTGTGTGTGTCTCTCTGTGTGTGTGTGTGTGAGAGAGAGAGAGAGAACTGCATTTTTCTGTGCATACAAACATATATTCCAAAATATATATTTTGTATGTTTTTACATGTATTTTTCATCTTTTAACCCACAGTATAGTGATGAATTTGTGGATTACTGTAGATAAATCTAGGTCTGATTCTTGAAATTTGATTTAACACTTATTTGCTATTTCTATGTCAATTACATAATATCTTTCAAACAGTAATTTTATATCTTTGAAGTCTATGTTTCACCAATATTTTAATTAACCATTAACTAAACACATTCAATACAGAGTATTTCTACAGAGGTGAAAAAATAATAATTGAGGGAGGGGGGCTACATTATTAGGCTGCAACAATTGGTATATTTGTCTATAATCTTATCCAAATTAGCCTTGTGCATTCTTGTGTTCTCTGCATGTATTAAACTGTATCTTCTAAAATTCCCAACCAGCATGACCAAATTTGAGATTTATAGGAAATGCAGACTACAAATCCAGATGTCACAAGGATAATGACATTAGGAAAGGGTGAATTATACCATTTTTACTTTTGCTTTTTACAAGGATAATGACATTAGGAAAGGGTGAATTATACCATTTTTACTTTTGCTTTTATTTTGCTTTTTGTAACTTCTTGCTCTTTTGTTGCTTCTGTTCAGGTAAACTGAAGAAATGATGCATACGCCAAAGACTGAGCCAAAATTGTTCAGCTTAAAGGGATTTTTCTGGCTTTGTCTCTTTAAGCTTCTGCATAGTGATTCAGGTAAGTCAGTGTACATCCTTAAACATAGAAGACCATCTCTTGATCTACCTTGCTTGTTACAATTAGAATGGTATATAGAATTCTATATAAAATATAGAATGGCTATATACATTTAGAAATGGCCTCAGCTTTTCTTCACAGCAGTAATTCATTACCACTTAGCAATGAACATCTAAGGACTAGACAGAGGAATCACTTCTAGAGTCAGAAGGTACCTGTCTGAATTTCACCTTTGCTGTGAAACTGCCTAATGAACAGGACTAGGCATAAACTGACATCATGTGCTAGCTAAGCCAATCTCTTTCAGCTTCCACTTACAGGTAGGGATGGGATTTGGGGACTTTCCCAGGTTCTTAAATAATATTTCATTTATGTGAGAAATGCAGTGCCTCAAAAATATCAGCCATAGTACAAGAGGTTTGAAAAAGAGTCATGGTAATTATGGTTTGTTTATTTGTTCTTTATTGGTTGGTTTGCTACATTAAATATAGCTATGAATATATATATATTAAGAATTAGACTAAAAATTGAAGAACGTAGCTTCCTGGATGTATGCATATTTAAAAGATAAAAGATGAGCACCAGGAAATAAATAATTAAATGTTTAATAAATAGAAAACCTAGCTTTCGATGGCTGTATTGCTGCCATCATCGTCAGGGTGTAAAAAACCAGAGGGTGGGAGAGCTTGCTTATAAGCACAAACGCACCTGCACACGGCTCATAGACCTCATTACGGGGCCTGGTCGATTGATCCTCCCATATATGATATATGAGTGATAGAAGGATCAATCGACCAGGCCCCGTAACGAGGTCTATGAGCCGTGTGCAGGCACGTTTGTGCTTATAAGCAAGCTCCCCCACCCTCTGGTTTTTTACACCCTGACGATGATGACAGCAATACAGCCATCGAAAGCTAGGTTTTCTATTTATTAAACATTTAATTGTTTTATTTCCTGGTGCTCATCTTTTATCTTTTATATACAAATAAAATTCTTTGATAAAAAATATTTTCTCAAATGATTTGCCATTCTGTCAGGGACAAAAAATGGGAACCACACTTTAAGATCCAATAAAACTCATACCTATTCACAAGAATCTAGTCAGCACTAAACTGGTGCAAGATAAGAGTTAATGAAATTCAAGAGGGGCTGGACTTGGACTGCCTATGGGAACACAACCATTGCATTCCTCTCTTGACTCTGACCCCAGCTGTGTCTCTCTTCTCCTACACTTTCCTCTGTAATTATTTTTTTTATGTAAAGAAAAAAGATTGAAGAAGCAATAAGAACATGCAGAAGGTTACAACAAATAATGTCTAGAAGCATCACCTCCACTAATTGCATCATTGAGATTCTTATTGTTATGATGTAAGAGTCATTGGATATGAGATGGGCAACAGATAAATTTGAATGAATGAATGATTAAATGAATGAATGAATGAATGAATGAATGAATGAATGAATGAATGAATGCAGGGGAGTTGAAATTCACAGGGTGTAAGATTGCACCATGTATTGACAGGATCAGGATTATCTGTTTTTGTCCCCTTTGAAAAGAATAGTGTATATTTGATTGTGATTATCTTTTTCAACCATGCAAAAGGTGTTTGAAGGCATACACTACCTTTCAGTTGAATTTCTCACTTCCACAAACTAGGGAACAATTATATTATTGAAATTAATTATTTTCCTGAGAGGCATTCTGAGTACAGTGGGGGAGGGGGGAAGATGGGGACTATAGGTTGCCAATTTTAGCAGAAGGATAATTTGCAATGGTCTTGAAAGATGTCTTACCTCATTAATATACTGGAGGTTTTGATAGTATGAAACAGAGATAGGCAAACTGTGGTCTGTGACTCTATTCTTTGAGATCCTTGGTCCTTCATCATGAATGCTGAAATCTGAAGATAGAGTTTTCCACCACAATGAGAATAGGAAGCGGAGAAAAACTGAAATGGGAGCTATAAAGTAAACACATTAAGATTTTTTTAAAAAATCAAGAAAACACACAAAAATTCCTGTAAATCACAGTGCCTCCTACTTGGGTAATATGAACCTACCCCACCCTCTTTAAAGCCATCCTCCTCAAATCACTTGTTAACAGCCTTGGGGAAGAATCAGATTCTGTGGCAGAATGAACAGGAAACAGATTAAAAATAAAACTGCTTGTAAAGCCTTTTGTGTGGATGGATACAGTAGAATTTGGAATTCCCACCAGTTTCTTTTGGATTCATCCAATTAACTGACAATGTCAGTAATTACCTATTTACGTTATCTCGTGATGGTAGTGTGCATCCTACCATAGTACAATGTTCTAGCTTTCAGCCCTTAAAAGGAAACCATAGGGCTAGAAACATTCTGTAGCTAAAAAGATCAAGAGCTTCAGACATTTCCCAGACGGAAATTTAAAAATATTTGGTCTTTTAATGTAAAAAAAAGATGACTGAGATAGAACATGATAGGAATTATCTATGCATGATAGGGAGAAAGAATTGAACAGACTTTTCCAGTTCTTGTAATATACAATGAAAAGCCTCAAATGAACAAACTTGTAAGAATAGAGAAATTACAAGAGGGAACATGAAGAGATGATTTAGAAAATATGGATCTTTTCTCTCATTAACTCAAAGATGTAGGAGTAGCAAACCTATGTGGGTGGATCTTATAAAATTGTGCATATCCCAGTTCATTGAATAACCTTAACAAATTAGTATCATTTACCCCTCTTCAGAGTTTCAAAATGGTTATATTTTGTCATTGTTCTTTTCTTGGGATGAACTTAAAGAACTTCCTCCAGTAACTTCTTATAAAGATTAAAGATTATAAAGATTAATGGTTTGTAACTACTTTGTCGTTGCAATCTAAATTATTTTTAATAATAATATCTCTAAAGGACCAATGTAATTAAACAATTTTCTCATTACCTTAATTTTGTCTAGTTGGGGAAGCAAGAAAATTGGACAGATCTGTTTTTGTTTTCAATATGAAAATAACTCTGTAATTTAAGCCTACATAATTCTGAAGGAAACAGTGATTCAAATGGTTATTTCCCATTCTAATATTTTATAAATATTACCAATTGTACACACAAAACTGTTAGTATGTAACTCAGATTACCTTTATGGATCAAGATAGGGAAGTAAAAAGAAAAGGAAAAAAGAGAAAAAAAGGTTCATCAAAGAAAGAACTGATCAGATGAAGTAGTAATTAAATTATGCACATAATCAGTTCTGTAAAACCCCTATTAACATTAATAGTATTATTAAAACTGTATAAACACACTAATATAATGTACAAAAGCTTTTTTAAACTTATTTTTAAATAAGACTTTACAACTCTTCTGAAAAAATGCTGAACTCATATTTTAAAGTTAAAATGTGCTGGTAAGTTAAGACAATGTGATGGTTCATTACATGAAATACTCTCAGGAAAAGTAGAAAGAGACATGCCAATTCTTTACTCACCAAGTCTTTGTATTCATGGAACAACTTGGGGGGGGGGAAGCTGTTTTCCCAGATTTTCCTGAGTCTGACAGTTTGCCATGCTATTAACATATCTTAATATCTACATTTAATATAAACAGCTTACAAACACGATGTACCTTGAAGCAACAGAAAAAGGACACTCATGGGCAGAGAGAGAGAGAGAGAGAAGCAGATGCTACTTCTGACCAAAATAGAATGACCTTGGAAAACAGTGCCAAAGGAAGGGGGCAGCATGTGTGTAGTAGCCATAATTGAATAACAGGAAGTGGGCAGATCCCAATCCCTGATCACATTGTCAACCATATTATTTTACATCATGTCCACAGTAAAACTGATTTCAGGAAACGAGGGGTGACATTCCTTTAAAATTGGAACAATTGAAGATGGCTTTAAGTTGCCTTGATATGTCACCAAGTTATTGCACTATGGTTCATATGGTATAGGGGAATGTGAGAATATGCCTTTATATCCAAGATATGGAAAGAAGACTGACTAGTCAGTTCTCACTATGAAAAAAAAAACAAGAAATGGTTCTACCTTTATCTCCAATATATTGTTTATAGATTAATTCTCTTTATCTAGTCATAAAATGAATCATTGGTACAAGAGGAGTCTCAGAAGAAAGATGAGTTGAACAATCAATTGCCATCATCCCCACTATCTGAAACAGTGACCAAAAACTGTTTAATGATACGGTCAGCAAAGAATAGCAATTAACGTCTCATGGGAACAAAAACATTGTAACAACTCTTGTTGTTTCCCTTCCAGCATAGGGATTCTCCCACGCCATGATTTATCTCCTTATGGGCTTCCCCCAGTTTTTTACAAAATTACCCATTTCTGACATCTCACACTAAAGTTACCAAAGGGCTCTTGAAAATAATGTTTAATATTTCTTTAGAACATTACTTTCTATAGAATTTTTGAAAGTGTTTTATATTCATTCATTCATTCCTTCCTTATTCAGTTATTAAAATATTCCAAAACTAATTCACTTGGTGGGGGGTGGAATCCATAGTTATCAAGTTGTTATATAAGTGGAAGATTTCTCATAGAAAGTCCGGCATATCAACATATTTAAATTCATTGCTCAGAAAAATCAGGGAAATAATTAACAGTAGTCTGAAATGTCTCATCTGAGACATGTGGAGTTGTTATGAATTTTTGGTGGGATTGATCAATAAGAAAAACTCTTTGGAAATTCTACAACAGATTCAGAATGTTACATAAAGGTCTGAGTGGGTGATAGCACAGGAACTAATCCAGCACAGTGATTTAAAAGTTAAATGATCACTAATGAAAAGTGAAAGAACTTACAATATGAAATGGTCCAGAAAGAACAGAAACTCTGGCAAAGCAAATAAACTTAACAAAAGGGAAAGCAAAATAAAAATGGGAAAAACCATACAACAAATACTTGCTTTGGTAAATCAAAAGCAAGAAACCAACCAGTTAGCCAATCAAATAGTTTGATGACATACATTGCTTTATTTAAAATATTTATATAACACTTCTTATTTTTTAAAAAAAATCAAATAATTTATTCAGTAATTGCAATTATAATTTTCCACCACTGAATGTACATTAAAATGTCACATAAATTATATAGAATAAAATAAGGAAAGAGATTATAAACACAATAACCCCAACAGCATTATTATTAAAAAGCTTAATGGGAATAAAATATATTTGCATAACAAGCAAAAGACAGAACAGATGATAGATCATATCTTCCTGGGGGCAGCATCCTTAAGTCAGAGGCTACCGCTGTAAAAGCTAACATTTGGATAGCACTCATTACACCTCTGAAAGGGGGGGCTGAAATGTAGGAAGAAGCATTGCTTCAGATGTCACAATGCTAGGCCTTGAAGGCTTACCTAGGTTAAATGCAGCATCTTGAATTGGATCCAGAAAAAACTGGGTGCCAGTGAATATTATAAGAACCAGTTCAGTGTAGTAGTTACTAGGAACTCTTGAGACCATAAATTCCTGTTTTAAGCACAAAGCCAGTCATACACTCTCAGTCATAGGAAGCAAACAATGGCAAACTACTTCCAAAGTCATGTCCAAATAATTGATTGCAATCACCAGGATTTTTTAAAATACCTTTTAAGACAATAAAATTTAATTTTGGTGTCCTATAAGCTAACCTAAACTGCCCTATATTTTGTTTTAAAAATAAAATCCAATTTTAAAAAGCAACTGAAATGTGAAATTGCTTCTCTTTGTATAACTTTTCCCTTCACATTGGGTGCCTGGAAAGTAAACAATGTAATTTTTTTTTAAAGTAAGCTTGGTAGGGGAGACTAATTTCTGTTTCTTTAAGTTGATGTGTGTTTCAGGTGGGTTGATAGAGAATATACAAATGATAAAATGATATAGAAAATCAAGATTTGCTTGGAAGGAATGTATGAATTCTGAAAAGGAAAGTCAAACAACAAATTTACAGATAGACGGTGCTGGGGATATTATTATATTTGGAATTATTAAAATTTTTGATAAAGCAGTTCATCAAGGCCTTCTGAATTAAATTAGTAGGAGAAGTAACAAGAATTATGGATTGATAACTGGTTAGAATGAAGGCGTACAACACATTATTGGAAAGTTTGTACAATAGAAGAAATTGAACTGTGAGATCTACTTAAAGAGGACATTTTTCTAATCATAACTTTAGGTAGGAATAATATGTGATGTACTAAAGTTTGCAGTAATGCCATGAGGATTGCAAAGAATGCCGAAAGAGTCTTTCCAAATAAGCATCAATGAGCAAAAGTATAAAGTAATGTATATTTTATTAGACTCCAACTTTAGTGTCATATGCTATTTTATTCACTACCACTAGTAGGATAATGGTAGTGCTTTCCCTAATTCAGATGCAGTTGAAAAACAAAGTTTCATTAAAACTCAAAGCTTTTTGATTTCTCCTCTCACAATTGTATGATAGCCTTTTGTCTGTTAAAGGCAAACTGCAGTTCATTCCCATAATACTGAATGATAGCTTAATATTATATCTGAGCCAGGTTTATCTTTCTTCTGCTGCTTCATATTCAGGGGTGGCAATTGGAAAATTAATGACTTCCTGTACTTGGTATCTGGACTTCATCTGGACAAGAAGAAAATGTTGCTTGCTTGTGATGGTTAGCATTTTCTCAGAAGAATCAGTTCCACAATTTAGCATTGCTTCTTGATCCAAGTTTGCTCGTAGAAAGATACAACCTTTCCTGGAAAAAAAAAATCTGGCCATTGTTTTATTTGTTTAGATCGTATCTCGCTTAGGTTGATTAAGTAGTTTTTCCTAGCATGAGCATGATCTATTCAGTGTTTTTCAAGGACAGGAACACAAGATGTTGTCCTCTACTGCCCCCATATCACTATCAAGACAATCTGCTTTCCCTGCCATATATCAAAAATAGTGTTTTTCAACTAATACTAGTGATCCATTTGGTTATTATGAATGTTATTTATTCAGACAGCCTTTTAGCCTGAATTAATTACTATAGAATGTAGCTTTATTCTCCATGTTAGACTGATAGACTCCGGGGTCCATTGTATTTAATTATAGACAATATGATTATACTTATTTTGTTTATTTTTAAGATTTTAAATAATGTGATTTGATGTTGCTTTTTGGTTATTGCCCAAAGTCCTTATATATTATAATGGTCATTATTTAAGAGGTTTTGCTATGATATATTGGGTGCTGGTCTTGATAGCAGAATATGGTTTACCCGTATCTTCTGTATCACTTGTGGTGGGGCCAGCGATGGGAAAGGGCTTTTGCTTTCAGATCTTTCTTCTGAGTTAATTTTAAAAAATGTTTAATAATTATGTAAGACAAAATGCTATACTGGATAGACAGCTGATACAGCTTAGAACAATCTTAACTTTTTTTTCAGGCATCCAGCTCTACTAGAGTACAAATTTAATTTCTTGTACTAGTTGGCAATAGTAGTATTCACAGTGAACACATCTGGAGGATTCAAAACTCGAGAAGGAATATCTCAAAGAATTCAGTTTTTTAAGGAACTTCTAGATTAACTAGAATTAGCTTCAGCTAATTCCCCAAAAGTTCAAATAATGCTGTCTGTGTGTGTGTGTGTGTGTGTGTGTGTGTGTGTGTGTGTATACACAAACATACATAGCTACATACATAGGAAATACACAAATTAATCACAAGAGTAATCTTGTATTTTGCCCAGAGGCTCCAATTTCAATCATTCTAAGAATGTTGACAAGCACTTGTTGGAATGAAGACGCTTTCCCTTACCAGCATCTTCATTTTATTTATATATCTATCTATTTAATATCTTGCCTTTATTATTTTTATAAATAACTAAAGGTAGGAAATATATCTAATACTCCTTCCTCCATCTATTCGCCCCTATCAGAACCCTGTGAGATGAATTGGGCTGAAAGAGAAAGGTTGGCCCAAAGTCATCCAGGCAGCTTTCATGCCTAAAGCAGGGCTATATATAACTCACAGTCTTCTGGTTTCTAGCCTGGTGCCTTAACCATTAGACCGAATTTCTTTTTTAACAATCCCCCCTCCCTCCTATTATAGGAGAAAATGCATTTAGGACAGTTACTGAACTAATTTAAGGTTGAGACTATGGAAGGAGGAGCAGTGATTTAGGATGCAATGGATGTTTATTTTTGTCCAGCCTACTTTTAAATCACTTTTTGAGGTTTCCAGATTAAGAATTAACAGTCTCCTTCCCTCCACCAGAGGGATACTGAAGAAGCATGGGGGGCTGGAGGGCGGGGGTGTAAAATTACTCCTGTGTAGGAGAAACCTTTAAAATAATATACTTTGTCAGATTCAATTTCCCTTTGCTTAAAGAGAAAAAAAATAAAAATAAAGCTACCATGAGTAGTATGCTATATTTCTCACCTTTTACAAAACTACATATTGTGTGAAATGTTTTGCTTCTGTCCCACTTAAAAAATAGAAGCCATGGTGGGTATTATTACACTTAAGTCTGCAATGGTTCTCTGGAGTAGACATCAAACTCTTTATCTTTTCCTACTGATGTAATTTAGAATGGGACTCTAGAATTTTTCTTTGCCTCGAATATAGCTGTCAACAGCATATAATTCTTGGGGGAAAACTACAGTACTATATGTGATCCTGCAAAACAACATCTATCCTA